TCATATTCTATTGTTTACTACAAAACTCATGTGGTAACTGATATTCTGTTTTCTCTATTGTTTTCTGCTTGTCTCTCATCTCCCCTCCCCCCTTTTAATGGCCTGGGCGTAGGTCCTTAAATATATGTTTTCTATTTCACTAACTATGGGAAAGCTGTTCCTTTGCAATAGTAATCCATTAAACATGCTGATACTGGGGCCTCTTTGCTGGAGTCTCCAGATGTTAATTTACTGTTCTGCACCCAGGTTGGGAAGGCGGTATTGGATGCAAGGAGACTTCTGGTACAGACAGAATGCTGGATATATTGTAAAACATATTCTACTCATTTAATTACAGTCTCATTTTCATTTGCCTTGTGGGCATTCTCCTCATGCTTAGAAAATCCTAAATGTTTAGAAAGGTAAAATGGCAGTTTGAAATCAATGCCACATAGGCAGAGCAATCAAGCACCAGGAAGCATTTACGAGAAACAACACACAAGATGAATTATTTTCAAGATTGACAGGAAGCAAAATAAATAGTGTTAGGAGCTGAGAAAGGACATCTTGCTTGACAGTGGAAACCAGTAGCCACTGGGGTATGAACAGTAGCATTGATCTTTTGGCAACACATTTGATTTGTTAAAATGAATATATTAATCAGCATTAGGAAGGTGAATTGTTTAGATATCTGCTGTTGTCACTATAGTTCCGTTTAATTTGCTTCCTTTTAAATAAACCTGTTGGTGGAAATCTTTTTCTCTGTCTCTCTTTTTCTCTCTTCTTTCATAATAAATTGGACTTGCTGTATTGATGAGGAAAGGAAAGTATGTATGCATGTGCACTGGGGTGTTATTTTTAACAGATATGTATTTCCATAAATGCTGTAGTTTACAGGACAGTGAAATGTGTAAGTTGTTTTTGTTTCTGTTCTTTTTGGAGTGTGTGTGTGTGTGTATTTGTATATGTGTGAATCTATGCACTCACATCCAAGCTGCATTAAATTACAGACCTACACTCTGGCCAGTACTTTAGCTTTTTGATTTGTGCTGTTTAATGCTTAGTTAAAAAATATCTAGTAAAAGGAATTAGGGCTAGGAGAGAGGTTATTCTTTTGAACCAAATGTACATTCTCATTGCCCAAGCTGCAGTGAGATCCCCAGGGACCATGGGGACCAAGTGATATTTGTACTTCCTTCTTCCAGCAGGGTCCCTTAGAGCTTGTTCCAATCACTTGAAAGTCTCATTCCCTGCAGTTTCCATGTGTGATATGAGTAGAACCAAACTTCTAAGCCAGGGTGTGCTGAAAATAAAACACTAAGGAAGCAAAGTGGTGCTGTGGTTCCTTCTGTAACAACAATCATGCAAGGATGAAATTCATTCCTGAACGGAAGATTCCTCAAATGGTAAACATTCATCTAAATTCTCTTTTAGAAGTTAAGAGAACATTTCTGCTGTTTGACGGACTCCCAACCCCAACAATCTCCACAATCCCAGATGAGTGAGTTCTCACCTTTTGCTATAGCAGGACCGTGTTCAGTGCTTTTGGCTACCATAGGGTTCACTTCAGACAGTTTTGTTGTCCACCTCTGGGCTGTGTGTTCCAGTTGCTAGTGCAGCAGCATCTCTTCCTACTTGCTGCTGGCATAGCCTGACAAAGGTGAATTTGGGTGCCATTGGCAGTGATGAAGTGCTGCATGGAGGGGTTGCACCTTGGAAGCTCTCTTTCCTTGAGCTTTGAGGAATGAGGAGTACAAAGTACTGCATCCACTTTGTCCTGTTTCCCTCAGACTTTTATAGTCACTTTGGGAAGAAGGGCAAGCACTGACTATAGGAGATTTAAAGGAACTGGTCTCCACAAAATGTCATCAAGTCTTCTGAAGCATATTAAGAGCATATTGCGTAAGTAAGGAGATATTATGATAACAGTGAAAGCCACTGATATTTTGAGTCTTGGTGTTTTTTGGAGAGATGGGGGAGAAGGGGACAGGAAAAAGCAGAATAATTTCTGTGTAGGAATTTGACATAATTTATGCTTAATACAAAAAGACTTCAACAAGCATGGAAAATGCATGTTATAAAAAAGCATGCATGGATTTCAAAACATTTTGCACCAATGTAAACATCTTTTAATTCCATTTCCCATGAAATTTTTGAAGTCCCACTGTACATGTAAAACAATTACATTTACAAATGAAGGAGGAACAAATTAGTAGATTTAGCAGTGCCTTTTAATACTTGCCATTTTAACAATCTATCCTAACAATGTTTGATTTTGCTCACCCACATCAGTGCTACTATTTATTTTTAAAATCTCAAATAGTATCAGGTTCATGAATAAAGTGCATGTGATTTTCCAGTTTGATAACTGCAATATCTTTATTAATGAAAGTATGTGTAGGCCTTTGTGGGGGATGGCTTGATTTGTTCATGATGCTCATGTTACTAATCAGACTATAAAACCATTTTTTTAAAGATTTATTTATTTATTTGAAAGAGTTACAGAGAGAAGGAGAGGGAGAGAGAGTGAGAGAGTGACGGGGAGGTCTTCCATCTGCTGGCTCACTCCCCAGATGGCCGCAGTGGCTGGAGCTGGAACTGCGCTGATCTGAAGCCAGGAGCTTCTTCCGGGTCTCCCACATGGGTGCAGGGGCCCAAGGACTTGGGCCATCTTCTACTGCTTTCCCAGGCCATAGCAGAGAGATAGATTGGAAGTGGAGCAGCTGGGACTGGAACCCGTGCCCATATAGGATGCTGGCACTGCAGGTAGTGGTTTTACTGCTACGTCACAGTGCCAGCCCCTACAAAACCATTTGTACACTGCAGTTACCATTAACACAAAAACGTCTTATTCATGATTCTCTACAGGCTTCTCTTGCAGGTACTAACTTTTAAAGTCACAGATTTAATAGATATGTGTCGTTGTCAGTAACTGTGATATATAAAATTAATTTAAAATTTATTTAGGTAATTTTGTTCACCTTAAAGATTTTAATTTTCTTAGCCAAAAAACAAAAAGTCCTCAGATGTATCCTGACTAAATAGTAAAAACTAACAGCAAACTTGGTTTCACTTTGCCACAGACACATGCATCTTTCACTGTGTTCCATCCAGTGTAAGCTGATTCGGTGCCATATGTTGCACTGAGCATTTGGGGGTGGGGTGGGACAAACCCATGTCTTTTCACATCTGTTGTATATTAGGAAGGCAAATACAAAAGTTACAATCACTTTGAGTAAATAGTGCTATTTATTGCCTTCTGCAAAAAATTATTTGCTATTATATTTTGACAATTAACAACTAAAATATTTCAAGATCGATATCTAGCATTACAAATTTTAACATTTTAATGCAGCATTCAAGAGGTTGGAAAAAGTGAAGTAAGGCAGAGATTTCTAATACTGTGTTTATATCCAGCATACAGAGTTTAAAAATATAGTATAGTCATACTTTTGGTAATAATTTCTTTGGGGTAATAATGTCTAACAGTGGCTACAGTTGCACACAACACGTGCACACAGGTTACTTACTCCTTGAAGGTTGTGCAGTAGATATTGTTGCTCTCACTTTACAGATGAGAAAATTGAGGATTTGGAACTTCAGAGAGGAATAGCAAAGCTGAGCCTTACAACTTCTTAATCTTATTTTCCAAGCTACGCGTGACCCACCAATGCAATTGCTGATAGAAAAGTAAACAAATACATCCTAACATTGTAAGAAACTAAACAAAACACATAGTGCCAGGCAAGTAGTGACCACCTAATATTGATTTATTGAACTGAGGTCTACGGACAGTAGGCCAGAAAGTCTGTATAATGTAGTCTCAACTCTAATTGGAAATTCTGTCACTTTTCCTCTTCAGATCTCTCCTACAAAAGCGCTATTTCTGTGTGCTTGTTCCTGTAGAGAATGGGCATTATAATGATTCTTTCAGAATTAGCAGTTTAAAGATACGTGATTCTCAGTAGAAAAATACGGCATTTTCCTCTCTAAGTTGCTGTTTTCCTTTCAATTTGGAGACAAGTATGGAGTTAATACTCAAAAAGAAGGAAGGTTGAAATTAAAAGTTCATGGTTACTATAAATAAAAGCGTAACAACTACTTTCCACTGGGACTCTCATCACTTACTCTTAAATCATTCTCCCTGTCCCTCCCACCAGCAGAATCCTCCACAGTCTAGGAGGAAAACCATTCTACATGACCTAATTGCTCCTGCTTTTCTTTCATTAAATATTCTTATCATAAAAGGGATTCAACACATTGTAACATGACTGAATATGCATTTCTTTGGGTAAAATGCAAACATCATTCAATATGTTTCTAATCTAGAGGATGTTGAGAACTCCAGTAGTCATACCATGAAGAAGGAATTGATGTGTTTAGGCAAGGGTGTCTAAAAGGAAAGGATTTGTGGACTCTTGAGGAGACAGACACAGAAATGAAAGAAAATGCAGAAAAAGAACTTCCCACGAACTACCGGGATGTGGAGGGGGCCATTCTACTCATCATATAATGGCACTATAGCCACACTTCCAAGCAGGCACCACCCCATCCACACACACTTAGCATGATGAAATGGGCTAATGTCATGGCCAAGTGTGGACCAGTGGTGATGTATGATGCTTGAAATCGCTCTGAGATGTTAAGTTGTGCATGAAACAGGGAACAAAGTACTTACTGTTTATACTGGATGATAAATAAAGCTAATAAACAAGGTTGGTCAGGTGCATTTTAATGTCCTGATTTCTGCATTATTTTAGTGATTCTGGAGGAATCATGGCTTCCCAGAGATGGTAACCCTGTGTTAGTTTTGAATAGCAGAATTTGAGGTGAACAGTTACTACTGTGGAAGAATTCAGGAGAACAAGAGGTCAATAGCAACAAAATCTCACTGAAGCACTTTCCTTATACCTTGAAATTGAAGTAATATACAAAAGTTTTAAAAAGGACTTCAGAAAATATGATAGCACAAAGACAGTATTGTTCTGTCTTTGCATTTATCTTGTTTCCTCTTGGCCAGTCACTTCTATGCAGCATCCCTTCATATCGGTGAGCTAATTCAATCAAACATATGCCTACAGGATGTAGACTCAGAATTGCTAGAGATGATCAAGCATGTAGCAAGCAGATAGACTCTCTGATGTCTTTTGAATTCATTCACCAATATCCACAAAAACTCATTTGGATTTCTTTCAGATGCCCAATTCCAGCAGTCTTGTCCTGAACATCTCTTCACTGCGTAACACATAGAGTTATAGTTAAGTATGTTTCCTTTCTCAGGAATAGCACTTTCGAGGCATTCAATCATTCAAAATGGATCCCTTACCTCAACTTGAAAAGAGCTTAGGAGTTAGGACACCTGGATTCAGATTCTCGCTTTGCAACTTACTGGCTGTTTGACCTTCTTCCAAATTTCCAGATCAGGAGAGATGGGCTGGGTGGAGCCTGTTGAATGCAGCCTGTAATGTGTATGGTATGTGCTTAATAAGTATCAGCACTTTTCTACCTCTTACTGCTAAATACTCTCTTTGGGTACACAGTTCCTTCCTTCCTTCCTTCCTTCCTTCCTTCCTTCCTTCCTTCCTTCCTTCCTTCCTTCCTTTCTTTCTTTCTTTAAGATTTTATTTAATTGAGAGGAAGAGAGTTACAGAGAGATGGAGAAACAGAGAGCAAGGTCTTCTGTCTACTGGTTTACTCCCAAATGGCTGCAACAGCTGGAGCTGGGCTGATCCAAAGCCAGGAGCCTGAAGGTTCTTCTGGGTCTCCTATGTGGGTGCAAAGGCCCAAGCACTTGGGCCATTTTCTACTGCTTTCCCAGGCCATAGCAGAGAGCTAGATTAGAAGAGGAGCAGCCAGGGCCGGCACCGCGGCTCGCTTGGCTAATCCTCCGCCTGCGGCGCCGGCACTCCGAATTCTAGTCCTGGTTGGGGCGCAGGATTCTGTCCCAGTTGCTCCTCTTCCAGGCAGCTCTCTGCTGTGGCCTGGGAGTGCGGTGGAGGATGGCCCAAGTGCTTGGGCCCTGCACCCCATGGGAGACCAGGAGGAAGCACCTGGCTCCTGGCTTCGGATCGGTGCGGCGCACTGGCCATAGTGGCCATTTTGGGGGGGTTAACGAACGGAAAAGGAAGACTTTTCTCTCTGTCTCTCTCTCTCACTGTCTAACTCTGCCTGTCAAAAAAAAAAAAAAAAAGCAGAGGAGCAGCCAGGACACAAACTAGAGCCCGCATAGGATGCCCATGCTGGTGGTGGAGGCTTAGCCCACTCTACCACAGCACTGGCCCCAAGTGAAAAGTTCCTGAACAGTGCTCTAGTGAATGCCTACCAAACCTGGAAGAAAAGTGGCCTTCAGGAGATCCCACCCCTGCCTTGTTTTTTCTCTATCAGGAGATTAGATACACATTCAATCATAAAATGATAAAGTTCTAGGAAAACCACATAAAAGTCACTCCTACAGATAGTTATATCATGGGTATATAACATCTGGATATATTCATATCATTGATATCTAAAATATAAATATATGTTTTCTATTTTATATGGATATATAGAATTATTTACATTGTATTTATTTGGATATATAATATTTTATTTAAATATTTATTTTGGAAAAACTCAAGACTTCTACAGCCACTTTTAAATACAGAGCATTGCAAACCTTTGGAAATTTAATACTTCATGTTGGTTATTATTTAATCCTTGAAATTTTCTGTGGAATTGGGTTTTTATACCGTATTGTTATCTATTGTAAGTAATATATATTTCTAAAAGAGTAAATAAAGTAAAATAATTTTCTCCCAATGTTATCTGTAAAGATTTGGCTCCCCAAAAAGGTTGCTGTTCATAGCTTAGGTCAGAAAGGAGAGACACTTGGGCAGATATGTGTTCTCAATAAGAGCTGAATTTTTGTCTGAGGAGCTTCTTGGTGTTTTTCATTTCCTAGGGAGTTCCAGGAGTACTAAAATTATATCTAGACAAAGTGTTTATGTTTCAAAAGTGCAGGCTCTGCATTCCAGGCTACACACTGAGGGCTCTCAAAACAGAGGCTGCTTTTACTGAAACTGGGAAATAAGGATAATTCATAAAAGGCTTGGACTAGTCCATATTGAAAAAACAGACGATAACCAGTGAGCCAGCTGGAAAGGAACAACCTAACCCTGGGGTTGGCAAACTTCTCTGTGAAAGATCCCCTAGTGAATATTTAAGGTTTTGCAGGCCCCTATCGTCTCTGTTGTAGCTACTCAGCTCTGTCATTAAGACTAAAAAACTGACATTGACAATACATACATGAATGAGTATGGCTGTGTTCCAATAAAACTTTATTTACAAAGACAGGCAGTGGACTGGATTTGGCAGTTGGGTTGTAGTGTGCCAGCTCTTGTAGGCCTTGTCAAAAGCTTACTAACTAGGCCGGCGCCTTGGCTCAATAGGCTAATCCTCCACCTTGCGGTGCCGGCACACCGGGTTCTAGTCCCTGTCGGGGCGCCGGATTCTGTCCCGGTTGCTCCTCTTCCAGGCCAGCTCTCTGCTGTGGCCAGGGAGTGCAGTGGAGGATGGCCCAAGTACTTGGGCCCTGCACCCCATGGGAGACCAGGAGAAGTACCTGGCTCCTGCCATCGGATCAGCGCGGTGTGCCGGCCGCGGCGGCCATTGGAGGGTGAGCCAACAGCAAAGGAAGACCTTTCTCTCTGTCTCTCTCTCTCACTGTCCACTCTGCCTGTCAAAAAAAAAAAAAGTTTACTAACTAGATTCAATTATCTTATTATCTTTGGGCTTAATGAAATTGGTGATATAAAGGTTTTACTGTACTAAAATGGTTAGCCATGTGCTTAAATGGGATTTTGTCTGAAATTTTACCAGTAGAAATTCAGTCTTTTCCATTGAACATCATTCTCTTCACAGATCTTCTTGAAATGCAAGAGCTTGTGAACTATATTAAGTCACTGCTTCTTTAGTGACAGTTAGCTTCGAACTCTGAGGCCGGATGGGATCCTAGCAGCCGCATGCGGATACACAGTCCCTAGAGTAGAGAAAAGACAAGAATGGCCTGTCTTTCCCACGTAAACAATTATTCACAGGACCCCTTGGACACCTAGTGATATTTTTGTTGTTCTTGCAAAGGAGTTTTCTTTAGGAATAAAGTACGGCTTGAATCAGTGCTCATGTCCAGGCGGAGGATACCCATGGTTAATGCACACCATTCTACAAACACCTATTTTGTTGCAAGACTGTGTGCTAGGAGCTGAAGGTAGGAAGCAGAATGGTACAATTTAGCAGGGAAAATTCATAGGTAATACAAAATGATAGAGTCTACAGAAGAACAAAGGATAATTCTGTTTTAAAAGTCCCTCAAACAGCTAGTCTCATTTTCTCTTTTCCTCTCTATTTATTCTAGTTTGATGTATTAAAATGAAGCCCTAGTGCTAATTAAAACTTATTTTTAAGTTGGAATGACAGGGATCATGAAAAATTATAAACATGGTTGGTAGTTATTATTTTTAAAAACCTTATTTCCTCATTGCTGTTTCCTTAAAATTTTCATTTAAATTGCAAAAGCTGGAAAAAGAGCTTAGGCTGGGCTGCTTTAGTACTAAAACCCTCTTGTGTGTTTAACCCATTCACCATAGGGTTGATTTACAGCTGCTTTCCCTGCTTGATGAATCCCACATGCCCCATAATTTAAACATCTTAATGCGCCTCTCTGGAGTGCCTTTTTATTTGAATGTAAATTGATTCTGAAACTGCTCCCAATCAGAAGTTCTGTTTGATATACTGTAGCTTAGGGTTGAATCTGGTCATAATAAGATTCAGTCTATAAGGTATAGGATTGAGGTTCAATTGCTACCATAATTAACCTAGTCCAGGTTAATTTAACCATAAAGTATACACTGCAGTGGACTGTTCAACTTGTCACAAATAAATGAATGGCACAGATGCTGAGCCACTCAGAAAATGGACTGTAGTTTGTTCATAGTAATACAAAAGAAGATGGAGTTTCCTCCTAAATCTGCACAGTTTACTTATTTTAGAACTTTGAAGAATTTTCAGGCAAACAAGATTTTTGTAGTATTCTAGACTAGAAAGCCCTATTAACTTGTCTAAGTAAAAACAGATGCAAGCCATGTAAGATAATGGCTTATCTATTCCATTGGAAGAGAATTTACTAGAAGACATGTAATAATCTCTACTTGTTGATAGTCCTAGAGATAAATAATTCCTGCTACTAGCCATTTACACTGCAGATTTCAGCATAAGAACATGTCAAATTATGTGAAATATTCAGCTAAAATTCTGGAAATTATGGCTTTCCCCCTAATTGCTTTCTCAACAAGTCATGTTGGCTGCTGCTGCTGCTGCTGCTGCTTAAGATTTTATTTATTTATTTGAAAGGTAGAGTTACAGATAGAGAGGGAGAAACAGAGAGAAAGGTCTTCCATCTTCTGGTTCGCTCCCCAAATGGCTGCAACAGCTGGAGATGGGCCAGTATGAACCCAGGAGACAGGAAGTTTTTCCATGTCTACCACATTGGTGCAGGGACCCAAGCACTTAGGCCATCTTCCACTTCTTTCCAGTCCAATAAGCAGAGAGCAGGATTGCAAGAGAGTCAGCCAGGACATGAGCTGGTGCCCATATGTGATGCTGGCACTGCAGCCTAAGTCTTAGCCTACTTCGCCACAGCACAGACCCTAAGAGTTAACTTTTTTTTCTTTTCCCAAAGTAAACTTTTATTTAAGGAATATAAACTTTATGCATTTCATAAGTACAACTTTAAGAGAATAGTGATTATACCCACCATTTCTGCCCTCCCACCCATACTCCCAATCATTTTCCTTCTCTCTCTCCTATTACCATTCCTATTTTTTACTAAATTTTTCAATTAACTTTATGCACATATGATTAACTCTATATTAAGTAAAAAGTTCAACAAATTTTATGAAAAAAAAAAAAAAACTGTTCCTCAACAGTTGACACAATGGCTGTTCAAAGTCATTGCACCTCAACTTCTATAGATTACTTTTTAGGTATTCTATTAATTATCATAGGTCCAGGAGAACATATGATATTTGTTCTTTGGGGACTGGCTTATTTCACTAAGTATGATGTTTTCCAGTTTCATCCATTTTGTTACAAATGACAGGATTTCTTATTTCTTTTTTCTTTTTTTACTACTGTGTAGTACTGCATAGTATACACATCCCATAATTTCTTTATCCAGTCTACAGTTGATGGACATTTGGATTGATTCCATATCTTAGTTATTGCGAATCGAATTGCCATAAACATGGGGATACAGATACCTCTTTCATATGCTGATTTTATTTCTCTTGGGTAAATTCCCAAGAGTGGGATGGCTAGGTCATGTGGTAGGTCTATATTCAGATTTCTGAGGTATCTCTGTGCTGTCTTCCACAGTGGCTGTACCAGTTTACATTCCCACTAACAGTGGATTAGGGTACCTTTTCCCCTACATCCTCGCCAGCATTTGTTGTTTGTTGATTTCTGTATGAAAGCCATTCTAATGGGGGTGAGGTGAAACCTCTCTATAGTTTTGATTTGCATTTCCCTGATGACAAATGATTCTGAGCATTTTTTCATGTGTCTGTTGGTTATTTGGATTTCCTGTTTTGAAAAATGACCATTTAAGTCTTGCCCATTTCTTAATGGGGTGGTTTGTTTTGTTGTGGTTGAGCTTCTTGTATATTCTGGTTGTTAATCTTTTATCAGTTTCATAGTTTGCAAATAACTTCTCCCATTCTGTTGATTGCCTCTAACTTTGCTGATTGTTTCTTTTTCAGTGAAGAAGTTTCTCAGTTTGATGTAATCCCATTTGTCAATTTTGGCTTTGAATGCTTGTGCTGATGGGGTCTTTTCCAAGAAGCCTTTGTCTATGCCAATGTTTTGCAGGATTTCCCCAATGTTCTCTAATAATTGGATGGTATTGGGTCATAGATTTAGGTCTTTGATCCATTTTGAGTAGATTTTTGTGTAAGGTGTAAGGAAGGGGTCTGGCTTCATACTTTTGCATGTGGAGATCCAGTTTTCCCAGCACCATTTGCTGAAGAGACTGTCCTTGCTCCAGGGATTGGTTTTAGCTCCTTTGTCAAATATAAGTTGGTTATAGATGCTTGGATTGATTCATGACATTTCTATTCTGTTCCATTGGCCTAACCATCTGTTTTTGTGCCAGTACCAGGCTGTTATAACTGCCCTGTAGTATGTCTTGAAATCTGGTATTGTGATACCTCCAGCTTTGTTTTTGTTGTATAAGATTGCTTAATCTATTTGGGGTCTCCTATATTTCCATATGAATTTCAGCATAATTTTTTCTATATCTGAGAAGAATGTCCTTGGTATTTTGATGGGTATCACACAGAATCTGTAAATTGCTTTCAGTAGCATGGACAATTTGATGCTATTGGTTCTTCGAATCTGTGTACATGGAAGACTTTTTTGTGTCTTCTTCTTTCTTTAATGTTTTCTAATTCTCATCATAGGGATCTTTGACATACTTGGTTAAATTTATTCCAAGGTGTGTGTGTGTGTGTGTGTGTGTGTGTATGTGTATATATATATATAGAGAGAGAGAGAGAGAGTAGTCATTGTGAATGTGATTTATCTTAGAAGTTCTTTCTCAGCAGTGGCATTTACAAAGACTAATGCCTTTGTGTATTGATTTTATATCCTGCCACTTTACCAAACTCTTCTGTGAGTTCCAGTAGTCTCTTAGTGCAGTCTTTTGGATCCCCTATATATAGAATCATGTCATCTGCAAATAGGGATAGTTTGACTTTCTCCTTTCCAGTTTGTATCCCATGATTTCTTTTCCTTGCCTAATGGCTCTGGCTACAACTTCCAGGACTATATTGAATGGCAATGAGTGAGCACCCTTTCCTGGTTTTGGATCTCAGTGGGAACGCTTCCAACTTTTCCCCATTCAAAAGGACGCTGGCTGTGGGTGTGTCATAGACTCCCTTGATTGTGTTGAGGGATGTTCCTTCTATACCCAATTTGCTTAAAGTTTTCATCTTGAAAGGGTGTTGTGTGTTATCAAATGCTTTCTCTGAATCTATTGAGATAACCATATGGTTTTTGTACTGCAATTTGTGAATGTGATGTATCACATTGATTTGTGAATGTTGAACCATCCCTGCATACCTGTGATAAATCTCACTTGGTGTGGGTGGATGATCTTTCTGATGTGTTGTTTGATTCCTTTAGCTAATATTTTGTTGAGAATTTTTGTGTCTATGTTCATCAAGGAAATTGGTCTATAGTTCTCTTTTCTGGTGTATCTTTTTCAAGTTTAGGAATTAAGGTGATGCTGGCTTCATATAAGGAGTTTCAGAGGATTTCTACCCTTTTCAGTTGTTTTGAATAGCTTGAGAAGAATTGAAATTAGTTCCTCTTTAAATGTCTGGTAGAATTAAGCAGTGATGCAATCCGTTCCTGGGCTTTTCTTTGTTGAGATGGTCTTTATTTCTGATTCAATTTCTGTCTTGGTTATTTTTCTGTTTAGGTTTTCTATGTCTTCATGGCTCCATTTAGTTATGTTGTATGTGTCTAGGAATCTATTCTTCCAGGTTTTCTGACTTGTTGGCATACAGCTCTTTGTAGTAATTTTTGATGATTCTTTTAATTTCTGTGGTGTCTGTTGTTAAATTTCCTTTTTCATCTCTAATTTTATTGATTTGAATATTCTCTTTTTGGTTAGTTGGGCCAATGGTGTGTCAATTTTGTTTATTTTTTTTTTCAAAAAACCCAGCTCTTTGTTTTGCTAATCATTTGTATTGTTTCAATTTTGTTGATTTCTTCTCTAAATTTAATTATTTCTTTTCTTCTACTAGTTTTGAGTTTGGTTTGCTGTGGTTTTTCTAGGTCCTTGAGATGCAGTGATAACTCTTTTATTTGGTACCTTTCCAATTTCTTGATGTACACATATATTGCTATAAACTTTCCTCTTAACATTGCTTTTGCTGTATCCCATAAGTTTTGATATGTTGTGTTGATATCTTCATTTGTTTCCAGAAATTTTTTTAATTTATCTTTCGA